CAAAGCCATTCTCTCTCCCTAGCTTCGACTTAGCTTTGTCTCCGGCCCTTATCCCCATTCTTCGCCCCCGCCTCAAACTTTTCCACCCTGGATCAGTCTTTAGACTCTTCCACCTCTATCCATTTACTAATCCCTCTGCTGATTGAGCATGGCCTCTGTATCATGCCGATCCCTTCTAGTACTAAGAAAATTTTGTCTTCGGTGTCCTTTTGAAAGCTATTTTTCACATATGGGTTGTGTTTTGATATTATATATATTTAGATTGCGGTATTAATTTTTATTTTTTTATTAATACCAAGATTGTCATTATTTATTGCTTTTATATTTAATAAGATTTGTGTTTTATTTAAATGTTTATATTTTATTTTCAATTAAATGTTTCCAAATTTGAATTTCCTATATTAAATATGATATATTTAGATTTTCAAACATTAATATCTCATGAGCCACTATCATTTCATTTTTATAATAAAAACAAATCTTCCCATATTTCTCTCTAATCAAAATAAACATTCAAATCCTTTAATTTTCCAGTGGTTCTTGTTTGAAATTTCCGACAGTTCTTGTTTGAATATTCCAGCGTATATTATTTTTTTTGACGTATTTTTCCGACGTCTTTTTTTCAATAGTATGATATATAAATACATATCCCTCTAAAAACTTATATAGTATATACTTTTTATTAGTTTATACTAAATTATTAGATTATATAATATATTCAAACAACCATGTATAGATTTTTCCTTTTTAATATTTTAATATATAGTATGATAAACATATACTCCTCATTATATATTAAACTAGAAGATTACATGATATATACATTTTATCTAAACTTACATATAATAATATACCCCCAAAGGTTATTAATATATACTGGTACATAGAGTTTTATCTCCTTTACGACATATATATTTTCTTATTTGGAAAAAAACCTAGACATTATTATTCTCTTTCTTTTGACCAAGTCATCACCCCCTGTTCTAGTTGCCACACAGCCTTCTTCGTCGACGACGACTCTCCAGCAATTGTATCATCCCGGTGTTCGTTTGTGGGTGTTGCGCCGTTGTGGAGGTAGCTGTATATTTGGTCGGGTGTGTGTTGCATTGCCATAGGTGCTGTGCCGTCGTGGAGGTAGCCACAGATTTGATCAGATTCATGGTTGTTCGAGTTCGTGGGTGTTGTGTTGCAGTGGGTGTTGCGACGATGCTTGCTCTTGCAAAGGAGGGAGGAAGGGGACGACAAATTTTAGTGGGAGAGAAAGAGATGGATTAGGGTTTCATGGAAAAGAGAAAGAGGGAGGGAGATGTGATTTTTTAGAGAAAGAGATTTGAAGTTGAAAACCCATAAATTAAGGATTTTTCTATATTTTAATTTTTCTTTAATTTTTTTATTAAATATATATTTAAGAGGGCAACTTTGTAAAATTCTAGACGAGTTATAGGAGCCAATTTTAAAACAAACATGTAAAATCTTAAACATGAATCCATTTATGTAAATTGAATCTCGATGTATTCTATTAGTGTACTTGTCCTTAAAAGAACTGGCTCACCTACATTCCTATATCAACTATGAAGCCTTCATCATTGTCCATTAAGGGAGGGGCATCTTCTTCTTTATGATGGTTTTT